CAAATGTCCAGAGCCTGCAATCTAATTCTACAGCTGATCCCAGTGGTTTTTGCTGGGCTTAGGAGTTGCTATCTGTGAGTGAGATATGTCTGGGAAAGGCAACCTGCTAACACTTGTCCGAAACTGAACACAATGAACCTCTCAGGCTCTACTCAAAAATTGAGTAGACTTTAACATGAATTGAGTTAAGGTTAGAGTTAGGATTAGGCTTGGAGCCTGAGAATCCAATGGGATGTATGTGATTTTCTGACTGATTTGTTTTTCTGATATCTTGGTTAGTATTAAGTTGAATTGTTCAATGCAAATTWACATTTGGATTTATCAGAGCTGAAAAACTTCCACTGATAACTGGATTTACAAGCAGAGGATAGGATTTAGGTTAGAATAGGCTGAGGGGCAGTGATAGGGCAAGCCAACTCAGCCTGGTCCACAAATTTCTTCAACCTKTCAATGAGTGAGTGTTTTATAGTCTGTAATACCAAAGCTTTGGATCTCAAGTTTTACTTGTGTGGGGCTTTTTTAATGTATAGAGGCTTTAAGTCAAATTTAGGCATTTTCATCACTGAGACATCGCATCCTTTTTTGAACTTCCTATATTCTCTTGTCGTTAGCAGTTTGTTGGCAGTGCTAAAAGCATGTGCTGTACACATAGCAATTCCTCCTGGGTGCCAAGCAAAGAAAGTGACAAAATGACACATGTAAAGTGCATATCACAAGTTTATTCTTCTGCACAAACAAATAGAAAGTGATTGTAAATTCAAAAAAAAAAAAGACAAAACAGAAAAGGAAAAAAGGTATTTCCATAAACAAAGATGCCAACTCTGTTCTTCTGTGGTCACATCTTTCACCAGACAGAGCCCTGCTGGGGTCCCATTTTCAGAGCACTGATGGGTCTCTTCTAGGAAAGGGGTCTAGAAGGGGGTGCTGGATATTACAGCAGAAAGGGAGTATATTCTTTACGATGATGAATCTTGCCTTGCACTGTGCTCACGTCTGGTGATCAGTGACTCCTCATCACACCAGTCTCTTCTGAGATGCTTCCTCTCAAGTGCTGCAGGATTTTGAGGTTATCTCTGGTAAGTGTTCCCGTATATTGAGAGGGAAAGGATTGTTACTTCTGAAGCAAAGATAAAACCCCTGAATTGCCRTAGCTGCAATGTGTAGCTTGCAGCATGCTAGAGAGGAGGAATAATAGGCAGTTTTAAATCAGAACCCATGAAGACATCTTCAAATGCTTAACAARGGAACACTGGGGTTTGGCCTACCATTGCAGCTTATAACTTAGCAGGTGGGAGCTAAAATTTGTCAAACAACTGTTTATGTCCATGCTCGTTCAACAGCTGAGGAATTAGACATTTGGAGAGGCTCAAGCTTATATATTTCAAAAGTATTCCTTGTAACCTCACCTGTGACCTTTCTAACAGGCCAGCCACATTTTTTTCATGAGCAGACACTAGCAGAGCTGCTTAAAGCTAGCAGTAGTTCAGGTTTCTTCCTTACAACTTAWCAGATGCATCTCAGTATTTTTTCTCATCTCATGCTACTTGCAGCTACAGGTCTTATTTGGGATACACCATGAGCACTCTAGGCCTCATCTGCAACACCCTCTGCTTCAGCAGATCAAGTCCTGTGTCAGCGTAGGATCCAGAAAAGTTTGTGAGGGGCTGAAATCCATTAAACTACTTTGGTTTTGCTTCTAAAYCTAACTTTGAACCAAGGATGTAAGTAAAATGCAGGATTCTCAGCCTCCTGGCTCTTCTCCTTGCTCTTATATTTAATATTTGTTTTCCAATCAAATGTAACTTTTTAAATTTCCTGGCCATTATGTTATCAGAAATGATGGGGCAAATGCAGTTGTTCCACTCACGTGGGTCATGGTATCTGACAATGGTGGTTAGTAATGACTCCTCAGCAGAAATCATTGTCTCTCAGAAATCTGGAGTGGGATCATCAAAATACTAACCACATGCAATTTCTCTTACATACTATGGCCAGACTTCTCTATTTTTCCAGTGGCRAAATTAATTTCCTGAGACTTTAAGGCTCCAAGAGCACTTAATTTTAGGGGCCTGAGGGAAAGGGGTACTGGAGTAAGATTCAGACTTTCTGAGGTTGTTTCTTCACTGCAGAATTATATTGAGCACCCTTTCTCTGGTCCACACAACCCCTCCCTACACCTGAGTTCAGTAATGCTTTCAGCCTGAGCTAGCTTGTCTGTCTAAGGCTAATGCCTTGAATCACTAGCTCGTGGCAGACAACACTCCACAAGGAGATGAGAGACAAAGCTTCTGGAGCACTGCTACTCCTTAAGCTCCKTCCCAAAGTTTTTCTAGATAAAATAGTAGACTCCTCTTTCCATATTTGGGAAGAATCACAGAAATTCAGTTTGCACACAGGTTTGGGGTTTTTTTCAGAAACACTAGTAATGCAATGCAGTACAGGATGAGTGAGAAAGCAATCATCTGAGATAGGTTTTGTAGCATGGCTGCTGCCCTTCACTGGAGCTAAGTGGATTCTGGTGATCTGAATTAACTGTGGTGATGATTTCTCCTAAGACATCCTCTCTGGGGCTTTTCAAGGATACCTTATCAATTCAGTTTAGCTGCTCCTAAACCAGGTGGTGCAACCAGGTGGCGGCACCTCTTCTGACTCAACCTTTGTCCACTAATTCMAGGCATTCCTATAGCTTTTCTTGCCATCCTCTCTCATGGTTGATAGTGTGCCAAGTGAGGTCTAAATTCTGTCCTCCTCTGTCCCCAGAATGCTCATTATATCTTTCAGGGCCCCCAGGAATGTGCAACTGCAGACACAGGCCTGCAAAAATGTCCAGCCAGAGTGTGAAGAATTCAAAGGTAGGAYTGTGTATTACTTCTCCTTTTCACTCATTCTCTCCCTCCCAAGCTTGTCCAGGATTAGTRCTGCCAGCTAGATTGTCCAGGCTTCTTTTTCTTCATGGGAGAGCACAGATGAAAATCTTTGGGTGCTCACATAGAGAGACTTTAGAGCCTCCCAGAAAAACAAGAGCACTAAGAGCACCTCCAAGAAAAAGCTACACATCATAAGCTCCTGCAGTGCAGGGGAAGGTTGGCTCAGATTTAGTGTGAAACAAGACTAGCTGCACTGTTTACAGACTGCTTCAGACCCATTTGCATTCTTTTTTTTCCTCCCCAGAACCTACACTTTTTTATGTCTATAGTTTATGCTCAGTCCAGTCAGGGAATGGCTACTGCATGAAGAAGCAAGTCTAATGAGATGGAGACTTGTCTCAARCAGGGAGGGCTATGAGGCCCTCATTCTGGCTCCTGTACACATTACTGAGGCTTTAGCAAAAGGCTGGGCAACCCTGACCCAGAAAGAGGTGGCAAATCTCTTCCCTGTAGCTGCTGTGTTTGGARCCAGTGCTTCAGGAGCAATGCTTTCTTGGTGTACTTGTGAGATCACTCTGGAAAAGTGGCTGTGGGCAAAGGACTACTAGCAGAAAGTAAATGACAGGGATGTGTGTAAGTCAGAGTRTAGATGACATGCACACACACATGCACAGTCCCTACTAATATGCTGAGTTCTTCCTTGGGACGACAGTGCTCTCCTCCTGTGTGCCTGCAGTGTAGGGGTCAAGTCAGAGGCTAGCCTGGGGCATTCAAAGAATAACCAGCAGGGTTTCCCCAGCATTGCCAGCAAACCGAGCTCTGTATATGTAGGTGAGTGCAGATCCTCTGGGATTCTTAGAGCACTTCAGTTCTCACCAATAAGGCCCCACAAGAATACATAAGTCCTTTAGTATGAAGTTTTACTTTTGACYTTCTGTTTCCTGACCTCCACTTCCATGTTCAGAATGTAAATGCTCTCCAGTGTCCACTTATCACAAAGCTTTCAGCAAGTTGTATGTCATGACCCATTTCTAACCTAGCCACACTTCTGTCCTAAACTAAACAAAAAGATCATGTGCAAATAGATATTCAGTCCTGCCTCCTTTTAAAACCAACTGTACCKTCTGCCATGCAATCTACCTTTGTACTTACAACATCCATATCCTGTTCCAGTGGGACTAATGCTGCAGGGCCTTTCTTTGTGCCAAGCAGACATTGCCTGAGCTCAGCTTTGACTTTTGTATCCTCAGAAATGGATACTTCCTTCTACAGTTCCCACAGCTGRTGATAGTCCCACTAAGTCCCCTCAGAGTCCTTCTTTGCCCTATGGCAAACTACTGCCAGACCTGATAGTGGTGTTTAGTACCAGCTAGAATGACTCCCCCTTTCACCCCCAGCCCTGGTGACTGGAGGAACAGGCACACATGGCCACTCTCATGCACAGGGCACACTGCCCACATGTGTATGGGCAAGCACTGCTGCTCACTCTGCTCTCTTGCCTTCTTTCCCATGTCCCCACAGAGGGAAGTCTGRGAGAAGTGTCCAAGGTGATGCCGCAATTCTCCTGTCACTCGCTGCTGAGCGTTGCTGTGCACATGTATGTGTGCACACACAAGCAAATGTGTACAGACTGGGAGGATCAGAGAAGAACAGTCTAATGGGAAAGCCAGGGCTTCTGTTCTGTAATCCCACCTCTCTCCCTTTCTTCCTGGAAAGCTCTTGCCTCTTAGTTTCCTTCCATGCAGGGGTGACTCCAAAGCCCTTGGGAAAAGAAAATGACTGCCTCTCGTGTGTCTCCATGTGAGATAACCTCTGCCAATGACCCCCTCTGGAGGTGGGTTTTGCTGGTGGGTTTTGCTGCTCTGTACAAGTTGCCAGTCTTTGTGTACCACACACATGCCCTCTCTTCACATTCTTCCTCCTGCTGTAGCCACAGCAAGTAAGCCTTCCCATGAAGTATCCCATCTGAGACCAAGGGGAAGCTAGGAAAGGGGGTGATGCAGAAGGGGAGTAATTTTTTAGGGTTTTTTTTCTTCATTTTGTGTCACTCATCCCAATGTACTGAGCTGACATGAAAGACAGAACAAGCGCTATCTCTGCGGGGTCACAGACAGGATGGGAGGGGTGCCTGCCTCAGTGATGGCCAAAACTTGGCCTCCACACATTGGCCTGCATCCCCGTTCTTGCTGCTGAGAATTTGGGCCTGGCTACCTGAAACCTAGAGGCAGAGACTGAGCTTGGAGAAGGTCCCTGTCGCACCTGTCCAGGCTCTGGAGAGCTCAGATATGGCTTAGGGGAGGGGCTGAGCTCCACCTGGAAGGGCGCTGGTGTAGCAGGGGCAGAAGAGGCCATTTCTGTTCTCCACAATGGCTCATCCAGCGTGGTGGCTGAGCGGGGCACAAGCACAGTGGGTGCCAGGCTGCTTGAGGCTGGCATGGGAGCTGGAGTGGAGAAGCGACGAATCTCCTGGGTCTTGGCTATTTTCACAGGGACCTGCTTGGCTGCYGTGAAGGATGAGCTAGCCTGTGGGGTTGGCTGACCAGGAGTATTCTGAGTGCTGGGGCTTGGGGGATCCCCAAAACAGAACATGGCTGACTTTAATTGATATGGCTGGTGGCGCATTATATCAATGACCTTGATCCCTGATTTCTGGCCAGGTGCCTTTTTCACTTTGCTCTCTGCTTTGCTCGCCTGAGATTTGCTGGCTGCCAGGGGATAGAAAGGGGAATGCATTGGGTTATAAGCTATCGGAGGGGGAGCCCGGATGTTGGGTGAATATTTCCAGGATGAGGGTAGAGAAGGGGATGGAGAGGGGGTCCTGGGCTTGTACTCTGGCTTCGGTGTTGTTTCCACCACAAATTTGTCCATGCGGCTCTGGCGTTTGGCRAAGAGCTCTGCCCCCTTGCCTTTAAGCTGAGGCATGTCCTGGGCCCCATTTACCAGTCCAGCATCTTGCTGAGGTTTAGGAGCCACTGGAGGTGGGGTCTTGAACTTGCGACCTGAGGACTGCATGAAGTTGCAGGCCTCAGCACCCAGGCTGAGGAAATCCTCTTCAGGCCCAGACTCAAAGCCTGCCCCAGGGTGGTCACCTTTCGGCTTCTCATCCAGATTCTGCACCAGAGACAGGAGCTCAGGGTTGGGTGAATTCTTCTTCTTCTCCTCAATCTTACTGAACATGGGTTTCTTGTTGCCCCGCCGGCGAGCCTCCTGCAGGATGCCTGTGCGAGGAGCTGGCACAGCAATCCTCTGCTCCCTCGATGTTAAGGGTTCCGAAGGAGGTCGTGGCATTGCTGGAGTGATGGCAGGAGAAGGCTGTTTTGGCACAGGGGAACTGCTTCTCATGTTCTGTGATGGTGCTGGACTAATATACAAAGATGAAGAGGCTGTTCCAGGGACTCGTGGCTGGGATGCTGAAGAGGCCATATCCCCTCCCAACTTTGAGGGAGTTGACAGAAAAATAGAGGTGGTGGATGTCCGGGCAGTGTTGGCAGAAGGCTTAATCTCCGTAGCACTTCCTCCCCCTTTTGGCTGTGACTCCAGCGGTGATGTTGGTCTACCTGGTGCAGGAATATACAGAGAAGTGGAGGAGCTGATTGGACTACGCTGTGTTGGCACTGRTGCATTGGCAGGTGTTCCTGGAGCCAGAGGGGAGAAAGGGGGAACCACTGTGCTTTGCCCACCCAGACTTTCAGTGGGTTTTTTGGGTGCAGATGGCCTAAAGATGACAGAGGATGTTGCTGGGCGTTGGCCAGAAAAGCCAGGAGTAAAGGGCCGTGCAGACCTGTTGAACATGCTTGTTGAACTTGCAGAGAAGGGGTCAGGGGTGCTTGGGGGAGGTGGGAAGAAAGTGGGGCTGGGGGCAGTCAGGAGCTGAGTGGGGACGGTGGCTGGCTGCTTGCTGGGCACTTGCACACCTTCCAGGTGGATGCTGATGGGCATGTTGTCTGCCTTCTCTGGCACAGGCATATCTCCGTTCACGGTGCCCTGCTTTGGCTGGGCAGCTGGGGCAAGCTCTGGGCTCTTCTGCACTGGAGATTTCTCAACTGTGTACTTCCCAGCTCGTTCCCTCTGCTGCTCAAATAATCGTGCTCCTTTACCTGAGGCCTCACTCAAACCTTTTTGCTTCTCTTCCTTCTGTTCAGAGTCAGATTTGGATTTTTCAATGTCCAGGTAAGTGTTGTCCCAGTCTGAGTGATTTGTTAGGCTTCGGGCATCAGAGAAACCTTCCTCATCAAATTCAGATTCACTAGTTGGAAACACTCCGTCTTCCTCCTCGTAGGAGCGGTCTTCATCAACACTGCCAAAGCTTACCAATGTGTATTTCTTAGCCCTCTGCCTGCGTTTTTTAAACATCAGCACCCCCTTGGAGTGGGGRTTGGGTGCATCTGTCAGGAGGGATGCAATGGTTCTGCACTTGGTTTTGGCTTCTTTCACGTTCTTCTCCTGGATGCTCTCGTGGCGGTGGAGCTCTGAAAGAAATAGAAAGAGGTAGTGTCAGAACTCAGAAAAGCTTGGGTGGGCAAAGGTGGACAGTGACATGGATACAGGTGTTCTAGTGCACACAGGAGGAAACACACCCTTTGCCCTTCTTTTTCTTTCCTACTTTTGCTGATGATGGTGTCCTTATAAACTGCTGGTAGAAACTCAGGAGCAGTTTTCTTTTCCCTGCAAACACAATAGAAGTTGATGCAGGTGTGGGGAGGGAATTCCTCCCACTCTGATGGCCAGTCTCAGTTTCCTCATCAGACCTGGGATTTCCTATTTCTGAAGCATGTGGCCAAGAGTCATTCCCTTGCTCCCAGTAATTTTTACCATTTATGTATCATCCTGAAGATGGAGCGCTGCTTTCTGTGTACCTCCCTCCTACCGTATAGATGACTGCATATGTGCAAGAGGAGAAGTGTTCTGCAGGCACAGTGGGGCTGCTCCTGCYCTGAGCCCTGCAATGTCAGCTACAGTCAGAGTGTTGAGCAGCAGCATTGTGTCTAGGGCTGTTTGCTGCCCTGCAGCAGCCCTTCCACTGCAGGAAGCAAAGGAGGCATGATTTCACCCTTGCTGCAGTCCCTTCCCTGTGTCCCATGCCTGACAAGGAAGAAGAGTATTTGCTYCTAAGCCAGAATCCCAGATCCCCACAACTGATCAGTCAGACCAGAAGGAAATCCACTTAGACAGGATTGTTTGGAAAAGACACCACCTGTTGGGACTCTGGCATGAAAGTGTGGGATAATCATTTTCCACCTGTTCTGCAGTCAGTAAAGCCCCAGAGGGGAACATTGTGTTCTCTGTCTTTGTGTGCAGGGAAAGCAGGTGGTGAACAAGATTCAAGAGTAAAACCAAAGTTGTCTGTCCTAAGGAAAGTATGGGCATGCCTCAAATCACTGTTGAAATTACAGAAGTCAGCATTAAATTTGAACAGAAAAAAAGCCCCACATACTTAAACCATAGACTAATTTGTGATATCTTTCATTTCACCCTTTTCCATTGCCTTTTTCCCAGCATGATAATACAGATGAAACAACCATCCACTATATGCATTTAGTAATTTGCCAAAAAAACTATCTTGTCCAGCCCTGACGTTCTCAAGAAAGGTAAAATATTATGCTCTGCTG